AAAAAAAAAAAAAAAAGCCACACAGAGATAGGGGTAAAGTTCCTCTGCAATACTGCACCGGTATTATTCCTTTAAATGACGTCGTTTTGAATTTAAATTAATGTCGTTTTAAGAAAGGGGAGAGAGAGAGAGTATGAGTAGTCTGACTTTGAATGAGTTGGACACTGTACATAAAAGTCAAAGTAGCTAATTACGCTATGTAAGCAGTCCAGGTACAAATGCAGCGTAATACCTAAACTTGATTGGAGTATTCACAAAAAATATTGGGCATCGTATTTTTAAAATTTATAACTTTACTAGGTGGAACATTTTATAACTAAAAAAATTTATCTCTTTTGTGAGTGATTTAATATTTTTGTGGGTATTTTAAATGTTGATTGTTTATAATCGATAACTATTTTTATCAATTTTTTTGGGTACCACAATTATAGTAAATGGAGGTGTAATACTGAATTTTTTTTTATTTTTTTGGATACTATAGACAATTCTGTAATACCTTTGTGAAATTTAGGTGCATTCTATTTTTACTTTTAATTCAATAAAATTTTGATATTTGTAAAATTGTATTATTTTATTATTTAATATATTTAAATATTTTTATAATAATGATTACAAATTAATTAAACAGTACCAAAAATTATAGCTGTCAATCAACTTAGAGATTTATCTTCATTTTTTGTGGGAATTTCCTGGAAGACGAAGCCTTGTAGTTTTGTGCCGTACTCCAAAGAATACAGGTTGCCAATCTTTGCTGGATAATAAAGTCAAATTAAACACCACTAGGAGGTGCGAATTCTTATACATCGGCCTCTTGAGAGTTGATCCATAGGTGGAATCCGTGGATAGTTTATCTTTGATTGAACTGAAAAATATATTAATTGAAATGTATGTAAATTAATTGAGAAAATAAAAAAGTGTTGACCCATTGGTGGAATACAAGGCTTCAACTTGCATACCTTTCCTTGCTAGAGAGCCTATATGATACACAGTATTTTTTTCCCATCAAACGTACCCAACACACATATTGACATTGAGATTGAGGGAGAAAGAGAGAGATGGATCAGTACAAGCATTTTAGCCACATCCATGGCCTACTTTTCCACCAGATGCCACAAGGTTCAGAAATCCATTGCTCAGGTTGCAACTCCTCTGGTTCAGGATGTGTCTATGTGTGCTGGCAATGCAATTTCTTTCTTCATGAACAGTGCTTTCAAGCAAACCGATCTATGAAACACCCATATCACCCCACCCACTCTCTAACCCTTGTCCCATATCCAACTTATCCCTCTAATTCCTTCTTCTGCAATTCCTGCTGCCAAGTTGGAACTGGGTTTTCTTACAGCTGTTCAGAATGCGAGTTTGATCTCCATGTCCATTGTGCTTACATGACTCAAACAACACCCCATGTATCTCAACCTTATGGAGGCTCAGTGTACGAGACTGATCTTATTATTCCAGGGTCCGAGGAGCCTCAGATGTACGCAGTCGCAGCCTCACCATTAACTCCTAAATCACAATGGAACAACCAAACTGAGACGTTAAGGCTCACCCTCGAATCTCATCCCAATGGCCCTTACCAAAATCAGTCTATCCCCAATGAAACACCAACTTTTAATGCTCAATATACTTGCATGCCTCAAACTCTGCCCAGTGTTAATGCCCCAGACTTTTCTGCTAGTCCTCAGATGCCACCACCGGCACCGGCAAATCAGCCAGGGAATGTTCTTTACCATAAAACCAATCAAATGAAGATACAGGAGACAAAGAATCACAGTCATCACCATTCCTTCAATCCATCTGAAGAGGTGAAGGAAGGTTTGAAGGTTTCTTCCGGTGGTGAACAAGACCCTTTGGTGGCTAACGGCCGCCCCGGGCAGTCGTGGAACCACCACAATTTGACGGAAGAGATTCAGCACAAATCTCATCCCAACCACCGTCTTGTGCTCCTCCCAACCCCACCATACAAAGACGATGGTGCCTTCACTTGCAATGCTTGTTTCAAAACTGGCACTGATCTTGTCTACCACTGCTCAATTTGCAAATTTGACCTACACGTCGACTGTGCCACCTTGCCGGAGACTATGAACCGTGAAGATCATGAACACCCACTCACTCTTCTGTTTTCCTCTCCTTTCAAAAATGGGGAAGAAGGGAAAGAGAACTTGATCTTTGTCTGTGATGTTTGTCATAGTACTGTCCAAGAAAGTTGTTGGGTTTATTACTGTAAGTGTAAAGAATGTGATTACGGGACTCATGTGGATTGTGTAGCAGATGAGGAACGCCCAGAAAGAAAATCAGAAGTGGGTTCAGTTCTTGCAGCTCAGATGGAGTTGCAAAGGCTTAAGATTCAGATGCAAATGGCTACCCAAAATGCACAATTGATGGCCAGCTTTGGACAAAATTTGGCCAACCTAGTTTAGGTTTTTTGCAGTTCCTTATCTTATATTTGTTCTTGATCTTGGGGGTTTTTTTGTTGATCTTCTTTCTTTGATTTGGGTTTTTCATTACCTATCTATTGGAATAAATTTGGTCTGCAATGAATTTCACATACCCTGTTTGTCCACTTCACCAAAAAAAAATAAAAATTCACTTTGTTTGGTACTCTAAAAGCTCAATTACAACTCTTNCCCTGTTTGTCCACTTCACCAAAAAAAAATAAAAATTCACTTTGTTTGGTACTCTAAAAGCTCAATTACAACTCTTTGAGAAAGGGGCATTGACGGTGCACGGGATGAGACCATGCCACTAAGCACATTCTTGTAAGGTGTTCATGAAGACTAGTTATTTGAACTTAGTCCGGATAAAATTTGACTCAAATTCGAATCATATTTTAAACGAGTTAAGTTTGAATAATTTTTTTAACTTGTTTTGAAAAAAAGAATTTAAAAGATTTGGTTCGTTTATATGTAAAATAATCGATCTATACGGATTCGATTTGAGGTCAGCTCATTTTTTAAACAAAGCGAGCTTGAACAATTTTTAGGCTCGTTTAAAAAAACAAACTTGGCAAGTTCGGGCTCAAGCTTACAAAGTTCATGTAACGATCGGATGTTTCCAGATTAATAATGGGGACAAAAGCAAGTGTGAGTGTGCGATTAGGGGCTCGAAGAACAAACAATCGAACTANAAGTTCATGTAACGATCGGATGTTTCCAGATTAATAATGGGGACAAAAGCAAGTGTGAGTGTGCGATTAGGGGCTCGAAGAACAAACAATCGAACTATGAATTGATAGTTGGGAGTGTGTGTGAGTGTGTAGGTGTTTTGGTGATAATTAGAGTGTTAGCAAGGTGTTGGAATGTGATTACTGAAGAGAAATAAGTCCGGACACACAATAAGAAAAGCTNAACAATCGAACTATGAATTGATAGTTGGGAGTGTGTGTGAGTGTGTAGGTGTTTTGGTGATAATTAGGGTGTTAGCAAGGTGTTGGAATGTGATTACTGAAGAGAAATGAGTCCGGACACACAATAAGAAAAGTTAGGGTTAACACATATCGAGTAGTTAGGGGTACAAAAATCACATTAACGAATCAAATTGGAGGCTATTAGCGCTATGAAATATTATTATGGAAGTTGAGGTTTTACACCTCAGCTCAATTAACACCCGGTGGTCTCATTCTTCTCATAGCTCATTCCTTTTTTTTTTTTTTTTAATAAACATGTAAAAATAGAATACACAAATTTTTACTATTTTACCCAACATCCTATGATAATCGAAAAAACCCAAGAAACTAACAAGAATATTAGTTGAATTTAATTTAGTAACAAATTCATTGATCTAATTCTTCGTAACCATTCANAAGTTGAGGTTTTACACCTCAGCTCAATTAACACCCGGTGGTCTCATTCTTCTCATGGCTCATTCCTTTTTTTTAAATAAACATGTAAAAATAGAATACACAAATTTTTACTATTTTACCCAACATCCTATGATAATCGAAAAAACTCAAGAAACTAACAAGAATATTAGTTGAATTTAATTTAGTAACAAATTCATTGATCTAATTCATCGTAACCATTGAGTTGTATGACTAAAAACTCATACTTAATGTATGCACGTGTGTCCAAGGCATATTGTTCCACGTTAATATATATATGTTGAAACCCAAACAATTCACGTTATTTTAGATGAATTATATATCCTTTGTAAAGTTTTCTCTGTATGACGACGCTATTATTAAATAATCTAATTCAACTTGCTAAACACATATGTAATTTATCAAGTCTTCTCTCTCTCT